AGACTTCCACCAGCAGCAGCATTAACCTTGCACCTAATAAGCAAAGGTACGAGCTGCTCCTGCATCCAGCCTTAGTGTGAGAGAGGGAGATGAAAAAAGGTTTAATTTGGCCCATTGTATGAACGGGTTTGCTGTCACAAAAAGCCCAAATTCTCTTAGGGCTGTGATGCCTGTGCTGACATAAAGGTCTTAGTGTAGGTTATGATTAGCATCAAGAAAATGTTAAATGACACAAATTTTTCCCCAAACAGCTGATCATTTTCAAAATTATTTTGCTTATGACATTGCTGCTTTTTCACAAGTGTATACAGTGTACATTACAGAGGGAAATGGAGGTCCAAATCTTAGATGTTAGTGTAACTAATGAACTTTGGGTCTAAAGAATGTGATTTAATCTGAAAAGGTATGGCACTGAGGTGCTGAACTCACTTCAGCTGCACTGTGAGAGTTGCTGAAGTTGTGAGTGTAAAAACTAACACTTTCTTAGGGTGGGTTATTTGGGGATTCACAGAGCCCAAACTTTAAATTTGCACATATAAATGCATAGGTTTTTAAAGCCAGAAGGAACCACCAAGATCTAGTCTGACCTCCTTTATAATGCAGTTGCAGAATTTCACCTCGTAATTCCCTGCCTGAGCCAAATAACATGAGTATTCATGCCAGAAGTGTTTGTGCTTTAATTCAGTAAGGGAATAGGTATGATACCAGGCCTCTTATCCTGCAATCTCAACACAGCCACAGAGCCCAAATAATGCATACCAAGCATCAAATTCTCTCAAACTTGTGGTGATAGTAATAAAAATTGCTAAATGCCTTTGAATAACAAATAAATCTGATTAAACCACTCTCTGCTTATGGCTATCCTGTGAGCAAGAGAGAACATAAATCGTTAGATACATGATTTATAGAATATTATTCACTTTTCTGAGTAACTATCTCCGTTCTTGGGTCTTTGATATTCTGATAGCAATGTCCTTTGCAAATAATGCAAAATGATGTATATTTTAGCAGCTACCGGCTAGGTTCTCAAGAGGAAACATTCTCTAATAGCCCGGTGCTCCTGAGGGGCTTTTACAAGCAATAAAATCCAAAGTATACAAGCCAGATTTTTGTCAAATCTTGCTTATACAAACATGAATTTCATCTTTGGAGATCTTTTTTTCTCATTGTGAGACAAGTCTGGCTGATGGGCAACCAGAGTCCTGCATCCTGCAGACATTTGAAGGGTGAACTGTCTACATGGTAGAGCAAATATTTGGAGTCTGAAGCGTGGCACAGAAACCACAGAAACTGATCTCTTCAGTGGGGACAGGAATGGGGAAAGGACCCTCACAGAGCAATCTCCTCTTCTGCTGAACTCCTTTCCTGCCTGTACTTTCTATGGCCAGTGGTGAAGAAGCCAGAAAACAGCCCCATATATGGTGAAACAAAGGTCAGGTGGAGAAATCTTTGATTTCTTCCTCTTACAGGTGAGGATAAGAAGGATAAAAATTGATCGTAGATCATATTTAATGTCGTAAACTGAATTTTGGGATAAAGTTTATTGAAGATGCCATATCTTCTCACCACTCTTTGCCAATCTCTACATAAGATTTATAACAGCCAAAAATCTCTGGCAACATTGTCATCGGTGGCCAGCTCTGAGGGGACCTCTTATATTCTGCCATGCAAGATTTTGTGTTGTGAACATTTCTTGCAGTATTGGTGCTTTGTTTTCACTAGCACAATGATTCCCAAACTAGAACTCATGAACCCAACTGAAGTCATGCCACAAATATATGTAATTAGGAGCCTGGTGGAAATAAAATTGCAGAATCAGGTCTCACAATGTGACCATGAGAGAAAGAAAGGGAAAGGCATGACCTACAAGTGCAGCCAGGGTTGGGAACACCTCTAGATAGCCTTGGGCACTGTCTCCAGAAGCTTTTAGACCCTTTACCGTGGTACATGCCATGGCGATGCCCCCAGCATTCTCTGGACTCCATGTGCCTTTCTCAGTTTCCTTTGTGAAGTGGTTGTTTTTTTGTTTTTTTTTACATTCAACTGAATACTGTCTACTTATTAACTTTGAATTTTTCTTCTCAAAATCCCTGTTTGGGTCCCTCATTTGGTTTCCATCACTTTTAATTATTGGAGCTGCCTGCACCAGACCCACAAATAACCTTTTCTGTGATTATTTCCCATCTCTATCCTTCCCTTTTATTAGGAAGGACCATTCCCTCTTCCTTGAAACTCTAAGCCTTCATCGATTTCTGAATCTCCATGCTTCCTTGATCTTTTCACCTGCTAATTCAGCAGTTGTTCTACCCATTTTACCTGTACCAGAGCTCTTAACCTGACCAAGGAGCCCATGGTGCTTGGAAGTGTCGTGTTTTGTGGTGGGACAGAGGGGAGCTGCCCTGTGCCAGCTGCCAGCAGATCTTCTGGGAGACACACAGGGTTAGGAAATTTGTCAAGAAGATGCAGCAGGAAAGGCCAGCTGGACTGGGAGTGATTGAGCTGCCCTGTTAAATAAAAAAAAACACTAAAGTACTGAAACTCTATGGCTTTTGGGACCTGTAGTTGAGGCACTGGCTGCTGATTTTGGCACAGGCTTGTGCTGCTCTCACCACGGCAACGCTTTAGCTGGACCCATCAGTGCATGCATGGCTGTCTGCTCTGCAAAATATCTTGCAGATTTCCTCAGTGCAATGCAACACGCAAATATCCAAACTTCTGAAGCATTTGTAGTGCCACAACACTGCCACCATTCCTACAGATGTTGCCTTTTCCACCCCTTTTCTCAGTCTCAGAGCTTTTAACTGTCCCTGTTGAGAACAAATATTTGCTGTTCAAAGCTGGGAATAACAATTGCTGATTTTTTTTTTTTTTTTTGTCTAGGAAAATCCCATGCCCATTTGAGTTACAGTGCAAATAAATAATAAAAATTGCAGTAATTCATACAATATTGCAATAATAATATCAAAGATGAGACCTGCAAGCTTTTTTTTATCCTGGAAAAACTTTGTGGTAGATTCTTTTTTTCTTCACAGACTTTAATGCTGTTTAGATATGTGGCAACAAGGAAAGGATTCACTGAAAGCGCTTAGCAGATGTGCTTGGAGAAAACCCAGCTTCTGAGACTGTGCATTACAGTCAATGTCCCCATCAATAGCAAATGTAATACTGTTTGCAAAGCTGATATTTAATTCACTGGCTAATGACATTCAAAACCACAGAGAGTGCAATATTTCCATTCTTGAACTTAAATTTGTTCAGTTTTTTGAGTCCATATGAGTCTGATTTTTTTTTTTTTTTTTTTTTTTTTTTTTTTTTTTTTTTTTTTTGGAATAACAATTGCTGATTTTTTTTTTTTTTTTTTGTCTAGGAAAATCCCATGCCCATTTGAGTTACAGTGCAAATAAATAATAAAAATTGCAGTAATTCATACAATATTGCAATAATAATATCAAAGATGAGACCTGCAAGCTTTTTTTTATCCTGGAAAAACTTTGTGGTAGATTCTTTTTTTCTTCACAGACTTTAATGCTGTTTAGATATGTGGCAACAAGGAAAGGATTCACTGAAAGCGCTTAGCAGATGTGCTTGGAGAAAACCCAGCTTCTGAGACTGTGCATTACAGTCAATGTCCCCATCAATAGCAAATGTAATACTGTTTGCAAAGCTGATATTTAATTCACTGGCTAATGACATTCAAAACCACAGAGAGTGCAATATTTCCATTCTTGAACTTAAATTTGTTCAGTTTTTTGAGTCCATATGAGTCTGAATTTGGAAAACCGAACTACATCTAAAAAGTGTGGGAGATCCACTGAAAACAGTTTGGGTTTTCTGTTATCTCTTTATGAATAAATGAAAACATTAGCGCAGAAGTTGCTCTTTATCCTTCATGCAAACACAACAGTTGTGATGATTACACTTAGCAGAGGGCGGATTTTGTGAGTCTGTTAGTATTTCCATTTGCTGGTTCAGTCATACATTTTTCTGCCAAAATGGCAGGCTTTGCTAAGCCTACAGACTAATTTAACTTCAGTAGGTCATTTGGTTAAAGCTAAGAGCAGAATTTATGCATTTGCATTACACAAAAGCTTTACGCTTTTTTGAAAGGTTATGTTTATATTGGCTTTTAATAATTGGGCCAAATTCTTGGCTGATGTAATTTAACTGAGTTTTTAGGCATGATATTCCAGCAGAGAATTTGATCATAACATTTACATTTTTATAGCTGTAATGTAATGTATTTTACATGTAGAGCTGCATCTATAGCTAATGCACATAATATATATATAATTATGAGCATAAGTATACATGCATGTATAGTTATATACTAATAATATAATAAGTATGCATCCAAACGCACACACTTTGTTTTCAGTTTGTGATAGCCATCACTTGCTATTAGTTAACACCTTAAATTGAGAATGGTGAACGTGTTTACATTTCATGTGCCACCATGGAATAATTATGAAATACTTATTTTACTGCAATTATTCTCCATAAATATATGTTGTATTTACAGGACAGAGCAAAAAGCCACAGAGGGAGCTGTGACATGAAAGTGCTGCAATGACATTGAAAATAGTAGGAATATTCCTAGCAGCTTTTAGTGCACCTTATCCAAGAGGGTGCAGATGAGCTAAGTTTATCTGCACGATGGTTGGTTTGCAAGTTTTGTGGTAAATGATCCAGTAAGAGCAGAGGGGATGTATTTTATTTGCACACTGAAATTCTATTGGCAAAAATGCTGCAGAGAGGGTTTATATTTTTGTCACACTGTAAAAAGCAACTAACGACCCATGGAGAATTTGGGAAAATGTCCTATTTACATTCCGTCCTATTTATATGGTCTGGTTTTGCATACAAAGGAGGTCTTTGTTTCCACAGGGTTTGTCAGCACCTGCTAGTTATTCCCCACCAGTAGCCGTAGTCCTCTGTGGCATCAAACTTCATTTCTACATGCAAAGAGTTTTGCGATGTATATACATCAGGTGCTACGGTACCTGGCGATTTTGTCTGTACAGGACATGGTGATGAGCTGCTCTCCCAGCAACACGCCGTCCCACGTCTGAGCTGCGTTATGACACCGGACGGGTATGGTTCCTTCTCCAGACTCAATCTTTGTTCGGAGGTGCCCACGGTATTTTCTCACTATGTGCTTGCTGCTGTTCACTGGGCAAAACAAACACGAGAGGCAATAATTACATGTTTTTAGAAAGAAACTGAGAGGCTGTGTTGATGCCATAGCTTGCACTTGCAGAACCACCTGTGGAGGTCCTTTAAATTAGATGCAAAATTAGATGAGATTACAGCCCAAGAAAGCAGCACAATGGAGAAAAGTATGTGCTCCCTAGCATGGTTGTCTTTTCACATCAATCAAAACTTTCACACAGCACACGCTGAGCTCATGTTCCCTTTCCCATTCCCTTCCATATTTAAGAAGAACAGAGGTAGTCTGTTTTTTAAAGAAGCAGTACAATTTCTTGGTTTTACTCTATGCTTATAGGATTGAGCTGTGTCAGGGGAATATTTGGAAAACCTTGGTTCAATGAGTGTGATCAATGACTCACCTGCCTGACCCAATCCAGTCCAACACCCTTCTGTGATATTCAGTGGCATTTTCAGAACTGAGGTTCTAGTTTGTTATCATGAAATTTCACTGAAAATTCTCAAAAGCTCAAGTTTTGAACTGTGAATCAAAACCAAATCAAAACTTGGTAGTTATTCATTGCTTAAATTCCCTCTATAATCACCCTATAGTGAGGTACACTACTGCTTTGTGTCATGTTAATATCTTCTATGCAACTGCCATCCATCACTTCAGTGATATTATATATTTAAGTGCAAGGCAGCTGCCTTTGGGGTGGCGCAGGGCAAGCAGCATGTCCTGTGCTGCAGTGAACTTAACCGAGTCCTGCGGATATGCAGTAAAGGCAGAAGATCATGACATTTCTAAAGTACTTCACCTTCATTTTCATGAAAAGAGAAAAACTGAAGTTCATTATCAAAATCACTCCTACTCTCTTTATACTGCTACTTTACCACTGGATATTTTGGTTGTAAAAGAACAGCAATGTAGGAGCAAGTGAACCCTCTGGGTCTGCTCACTGTCTTACTCTCGGAGGCTTTCACTGGAGAACACCTTCTCCGTGAAGCAGACCTTTCACAATTTCCCTTTAGCCCAAAGCAAAATAATGACAGACAGTACATGATAGCCTTTGCTTTCAAGGGAAAGGAGAGCTGCTTCTACAGATGGCTTTTGCCTGTATTTCCAACTCTCCAGTGTATTTTTCCATGGCCTGCCCCTCAGCTGAGCCAGAAAGCTTCTCCTTGTGAAGGTGATGCTCCTCAGCCCTCAGCAGGCTATGGGGCTGCCTGGGTTCCTGGCCCCAAGTAGCACGGGGGTGTCACAGGTTGCAGGGCTGATTGAACCTCTGGCTGCGAGCAGCAGGCTCTGTGCACGCTCCCTAGCCACACGCTCTCTCCCTCTGTCATTTTTTACCGCCTTTGCTTTGTATGACCATTGTCTGTGCTGTGAGCTCTGGTGGAAGGAATTGATTGACTTTGGCTGCTGCCAATGGATGGTTTACAAAAAGAGAATGGGAAAATAAATCACTTTGGCCCATTGGGATTAGCAGCGGCAGCGAACACGTGTAGAACAGCAGAGTCAGCTGTGACCTGCCAGCAGATGGGCGGCTGAGCCCCCACCAATCACTGCCTCTTCACTTCCTTCCTGCTTTTTTAAAATTTAAGATGGGGATGTGTGTGCCAGCAATGGGCTGGACCAGGTATCAGTTGGATTGACTGGCCATGGTCGAAACCAATTCCCACCCAACACCAGGCTCCATCATATCTGAAATGTTTGCGAATACTGTAAGGTTTGTTTGTGTTGCTTCGGGAACTGAGTTTGGGGGAGAGTGGTTATTGAACTGCCATCCCCATCAGCAGCGGTGTCTCAGTGGGGGACGTGGGGGTACTTGTGCCCCATTGCCACAGAACACCTCACAAACTGAGACACTGCAGTAACCACCAGACTTGGAGTATTGTGGCTTCTCAAAGTTCAGTCCTGAGGGAAACTGGGAAAAGCCAATGAAGACAAATAAAAAATTCAATAAACAAAAATGCCAGACTTTCAGGAATGTCTCAGATCCCTCTCCCCTCAAATTGCTGGGCTGTGCCAACACTGTTGGGAAAATATTTTCATGGCCATGTGTGCTGATCCTATGTACATCCCTCTTGCCTGGGATGCCTCCTGCAGTATCATTCAGAGCATGGTCTTTGGATGGGACTAACTATCTGGGAACTGGTCCATATTTCTCTTGGGACTCTGCAGGGAAACTATTTTTTTAAAAACTTCGAGCAGTGGTGAGCAGCATTTTTTATTGTTAAACAACAGAGTCATGGGGAAGGCACCATGAAATTTGGACAACAAAAGGAGAAAGTGATCACTTCTGCTTAGCAAACACATCTCACTGAGCAACAGCAAGAAATGTATAGCAAAACCACTTTGCCTTAGTCTGCACACACTGAGAACTGATGGCATGGAAGAGGTAGACCTCTGCCAAGGAAGCAGTGAAGAGTCACTCAAGAGACTATTGCTGTTTCAGCTGGTAAAAAGTTTGACTTTAAGTGAATCAGTTCTCTTTTCCTAAGCTTTCCCACAGGTATAATGAGGATAATGATGCTTCCTTCTTCTGCAAATTCATTTAAAGGTACTGCTCAAAAACTATTTATGAAAACCAGCTGCTATCCTTTCAATAAAGATCTACCACAGGAGTCCATCCACTGGAAATCCCCCAGGACAAAATGAATTTTTAGTGTTTCTTTCTCCATCTTTTTAATAGAAGAATGTTTTCTTTTGCTAGGCCTTTCTCTCCCCATTTTCCATCTCTCTCTACACACCTCTTGCTTTCTCACCTCCCACTCTGACCTTCCCCTGTAGGTGCATTGGTCTCCAAGATTACTCTCTTTTACAGGCAGTTCACCATGTTGATATGCCTACATTTTGCATACGTGAAAAGACATGTAACTGCTAGGGAATTTTAGTGACTGCGTGACAAGATGAGCAGCCCATCATTTATGTGACTTTGATTTCACTACGTAAATATTACCTAGTGAGGGGCAAAGCATCCCACAATGTGCTGACAGAGATAAGGAGAAAGTTAGTTCAGGGGGAGAAGAAGAAGAAGCAGCAGCAGCCCTGCAAACAACTGTTGAGCACTTGGGGAATTTAAAGCATATACCAAAAATCTGAGGGGAAACAGATATGAAACATTTCTCTGAGACTGGAGGGTCTGCTTATTTAATTTTTTATTTGTCTATTTGGTCTTCTCAGTTTCCCTCAGGACTAAAGGAAATAAAAAGGCCAAAGTACTCAACATCTGGGTTTTATTGTACCATCTCAGCCCTGGCCTGCAAGTACCAGAAACTGAATAATAAAGTTTTTAAAAGCATTTAGGAAGTGTGTGCAAGTGCAGAGACCGTCTCAGTTTCCAAATGCTCATATTAACTCAGCCCATGTGTCAAACTTTGCTCCCCGTAATGCACGTGCTACCCAGGGTGCAGCCAAGCAGACAGCATTAGGTGATAGGATTCAGGCAGCTGTGGCCAGTGTACGCTCACCCTGGGATACACTTCCACAGCACTGATAAGGGGCTTTAGCTGCTCAACTGCTATTAAATTCAACAGATAGGGTGTGACTAAAACCCTGTGCTGTACTGCCTGTCTCAGGCTGCTCACATTACTGGGATAGCTGGCACACATGCTCCAAAAGATGATCTGTAGTGTTTATATAAAATACTAATAATCCAAAGCTCTAATACTTTCAGATTGACAATGATTAAATAAATCCAGATCCGCAACTGGAACACACTTAGTTCTTTTTTAGCATGTCATTAAGTAGCACAGGAAGATATAAATATTGAACAAAGAAAAAGCTGAGGCTCTGTGTGTTTTGCACTGAAGCTGCAGACAGACTCTAGCACATAAGCTGCTTGCCAGCATAAAAAATGCAGTCCACTTGCTGGCACAGCCTGCTACGGATCATTTTAAAGCAGTCCCAGAAATATATTTATTTATGCAACTTAAAGTCACAAACTACAGCCTACTGCTGTTCTGCTGTTCAGTATGATCAAAGCATCAGTGACTATAAGCATTTCTGATCTTTGCTGTGCTGATTCTCCAACTGCTTAATCTCAACTAATTGCAGGGGAGAAGGCGTCTGAGGATGCCACTTCAACCAGAACAAAATGTCAATTCAAACCGGAATTGGAAAGGACAAATTTAAAAATCATTTGGAGTGGATTTATGATGTGTGCTACACTCAGATGTGGAAATTACTCCTGAGAGTTCCTAAGATAAAAAGGCACTGGATTATTAATTATTGGATTAGAAATTTACACAGGTGCCTTGTATTTAAAACCCACTGATTTCCAGGCTTGCCCCTTATTTTCATATTTTCTGCAGGACCAGTTCTGGCTCAAATGGTAATGAAAAAAAGCCATTCCATATTTATTATTTAACTGAAGAGTGAAGAGGAAATGGACGGTGATTAAACAGAATCACACAAGTAAGGCTCTGTCTGAAATTTTGCATGACTGCCTCAGAGGTTCATTTTCTATTTCCCTGCTTCAGTGGAGGCTGTTCTCTCCTCATGAAAGAAGAAATAAAACAGCTTATCTTGCATTTTTTCAGTGCTGGACCCCCCATTCATCAGCATAGCTTATAAAGCTTCCTTAGAGTGGTTTGAAACAAAAGAGTGGAAAGAGAAGTGTTAACATCTGACTGTCTTTGTATTTTGACGGTTATTAGAGATGCACTTTCCTCAAGCAGATGCTGACTAAATGTACAATAGTACTATTTCTGGAAGTGCTGAAGTGAGCATCATGGCACACTGAATGCTTTGGATGTGTCTCCTTTGCTGGGTGGGGTGGCTGGTCAAATAAATCTCTGCTACGTCATGCTTTAGTGACCAGCAGAGAGCGAGGCTAAAATGCACTGGGCCAGCTTTTAAAAGCAAGAAGCTTTAGGGATATTCTGAAAGAAGACTGGATTTAGGAAAAAAAGAATAGGTCCCCTCACAACGTGCAAAGCTGAATTGTGGTTTCTGAGGGTAGGATTCATCACACTGAGGGCTAGACAGGTAAAAGCAGTGGTCTTGTCTGAGGCTCTTT